TGATGTATGTATGGATTGTGATAACAGTTGTATGAGCCCCTAATAAAATGATTTTTAAAAATAAATAAATAAAAAAGAGAAAGCACTTGGGAATTGCTTTTTTGGGTGTTGGCTTTGGGGGTGTTTGATGGACCAAGAGGCTATGCAATCACGACAGTAATTGTTTATTGAACGAATTGTTGACGGATTATAAAAAGTTTTGTAAAAACACCGATTGCCGATGACAAGTCAGTTCAAACAAGCCATGGGGACTGCAGATGTTACAGAGTGGACCCGAGCCCCACAGAGTCTCCTTGGCTGTAATCTTTACAGCAGTGCATTGCCAGCCCTTTCTTCCGTGGCATTACCACTGGGTGGGGGTCTAGCCACTGGTTAGTAGTCAAGTGAAAATGGTGTGTGCCACTCTGAAATCTTCGTGAGGGGCATAGCATTTGCCAGAAGGTGAAAACCTTCACCGATCAGTAAAGCATTTCTGTCCTGACCCCCAAGGGCCTCTGCTACCTGAATCCCTCCTCACAATCCCACAGCAAATAAGGGATCAAAGCCGAGTCCAGTAGGGGGGAGTCTCTTAGAATTGGCTGCTACCCTGTGAAAGAAACCAGTTATCACCCTGGGCCATACTATCTTGCTTGTGTACACTGGGGGAAACTGAGGCAGGGGCAGATAAAAGCGCTTGCACAAGGTTGTGCCGCTCCGGCTAGTGGCAGAGCACGATTTGAACCTCCAGTTTAGTGCTCAAGCGGCCAACCTCTTGGGTGGCGGAAATGGAGGCGAATAGGAGGCTTGCTCCTGTCCTCAGAGGCTGACAACCAAACAAGGAGAGTTCTGAGTGAAGCCAGTTGGGCATGGGGGCGGGGGGCACCTAGGAAGGACACCTGGTCCCAGCTGGGGTGCAGAGAAGAGGAATAAAGGCCTGCAGAGTGGCCCGTAGGTGGCCAGAGCAGTGGCGGCTTCAGCCAGAGGAGAGGCCCTGGGGCTGAGGGCAGTGAACAGTGAACAGCACAGTGCTACTACCTCCTGAGACCCTAGGGTGTTCTCTCCCTGCGCCCCCACCCCCACCCATCTCCAAGGAAGTGGAACCCGCAAAGTTATTTTCCTGAGACCAGTCATGGCAAGGGGCCCTCTCTCATTCACCCTCCTCTCAAGGACAAATCAGCCCCGGCCTGTTGCCCCATCTCTAGGGACCATGCCTGTCCCTCCCCAGCCTCCCTTACTTCTCTTTTTCCCTTCTAGCGGGGGCGAGGAGCACTGTGCGGTTGGGAAAAGAGCCCAGGCCTGGTCCTGCCTCCATGTCCTCATCTGTCACCAGGGATCAAAGCCATCCTGATGATGTGGGTGAATCTCAGAGGCAGTAGAGCATGAGCTCAAGTCTCTGGGTCCCAAATGGATGGTGGTGATGATGACACAACTCTTTTAAATACATTTAAACCCATTGAATCATAGGGTTCACAAATTACCTATCAATAAAATGGTTAAAGAGAAAGAGAGACCCTGTGTTGGAAACACAGCTCCACTGCTTCCTTGCGGTGTCCCCTGGCCCCAGAAAGGCAGACAGGCTTAAGGTCCGATTGCTGTGCACATCAAGACTGTTCACTTGGCAAGCACTTGGCTGTCCCCAGCTTTGTGTCCCCATGAACGTTTGCTGTTGGCAGCGTAGGTGCCAGGCACCGTGTCCCTAGCGTTTTTCTCATTGTCCTCAGCTGCCAGGCAGTGCAGGCTTCCTGCATGTTCAGCACGGCCTGTAACATGCACGGTTTCAAATGCTGCACTTGCGGACCCCATGGCTGTATCCTGTCCCGTCCCCAAGGAGCACACTGAGGCGTGAAGGCCGGACTTGAGCCCCACTGTGTCGCTGCGAAGCTCCTGCCTGGATACTAAAAAGGCCCGAGAGCTCTGCCTCCTGGGGCAGCTCTGAAAGGTGCATCCAAACGGGATGGTTTTGTGAGTTCCGTGGACTAAGAGCTTGGACCACCATGTATTTAAGCTGGCAGCACATCTGAGGTGGGCCACCTCGCAGAATCTCACGAGACTGCAATGGACAAGGTGTGGTTATGATTGGCCTCACCTTACAGGTGAAGAAACGGAGGCAGAGTGGTTCAGACCACCTGGCTGCACCGTAGCAGGACCCGGGCTGTCGCTCGAGCAGAAGGCCAGGCGTTTGGGTCTGTGAAAGCCCATCTTGAGTTTATTTACTCCTGAAATTCTTTCCATCATCCTGCCTCTGATAAAGCTGATCACACCCCTCCCAGGCCTTTAGTTCCTGGGGCTTCAGCCCAAAACAGCTTAGCAAACGTGGTATTTTCTTACCGCCCAAATATTTCTCTTCTCCTTTGACAGACTCCACCCATCTGCCTGCACGCTGCAGGTCGATTTGGGAGTGGGGGTGGGGTGGAGCTGCTAGGAGCATTACACTACCACCACCCCCTCCCCCAGGAGCCTGCTCTGTGGGGTCCAATTGAAGTGTTTCCAGCATCCTTCTCGTCTTTGATGCCTGGCATGGCATTCTGAGTGCCCGGTTGCCTTTCATGCCAAGAGTGGCTGACCAGAAGCAATGTGGTGGCTCTGCTTACCACATGTGTACACACACTGGTATGCATGTCCCCTACCCCAAGGTCCCTGCACACACGAGCAGGGAAGGCAGGCAGCACCGTGCGCGCACACTCATACACACACCTCAAAACCTTAGCAGGGGAGCAAGTTTATAAACCTGGAGCGGAAGGCGAGCGGCTCCCTTAAATGTGAGGTTTGTGCTGGATTACGCAATAAAACAGAAGCCCAGTCTCTCGGCGCACTCTTTCTGAATAGAGTGAGACTTGGCTTTGGTCCACCGCTTCAGGTCCTTAATATATCCGTCACCTCTCCGAAAGCATCATTTTTACAAGTGATATGATAGGAGCTAGGTTTTGTTTTGTTTTGTTTTTTGCTATTATGTCATGTGCGTGCTCGCTAGCAGAGGCCAGGAGAAACTGGTCCCAATTAAAAATGTTTAAAGGCTTGGGAGGGTCTTGCTTCCAGGACAAATTATGTAAGCGAGGTCTAACAGCGCCAGACACACCACTCACCTAGCCCCAAGCGCTTGGCCCCCTCACACTGCTTTCGTAAAAGCCACTCGAATCTTTATTAAACTGCCCTGGTGGCGCGGAGAGTTAAGCACCGGGTTACCAAGCGCAGGAGCCTGCGGCTTGAACCCACTAGTCGCTGCGTCGCGGTGCTGGAAGAAGCTATTTGGCCCCGTAACGATTCTATGCGGGCAGCTGGACCCTGCCTTACAGGTAGTATCTCAATGAGTTGGACCGAAACCGTGAAGTTGGTTTCACTGGTATAGTTACTGAAATTGTCATTTCTCCCCAGCACGCCCTGCCACCCGCCCCTCCACCCCCTCCGTTCACCACCCCGCCCCGCGCCTCTCAGCCCCCCCAGATCTTTAATCAGCCACGCAGAGCACAAAACCTACATTCAAGTCTGATTTTATGACGGGGAGGCTGACTCCTCCTACGCGTATTTATTTCACTTAACTCTTCCAGCCCCCGGCTTGGAGCGCCACGCTTGCGTCTGAAAACCTCATCGCCTTGCCGGCTGTCCGCCTTCCCAGGACCAATTCACTGCTGGAGGGCCAAAACCGCTCCCTCCGCACACCCGACCAGATGGGGTATTTCCATCTCCGAGTATTAACCGCCCCTCTAGCAGGTCCCCCCAAAGTACGATTGCAGGGCTAAATTCAAGCCGGGGTGCGTGCGGAGAGCGCCGGGGAAGCCGAGCGAGAACGCACGCAGACCATCCAGCTGCTGGCTTTAAGGGGAGATTGAATGACTTCTCCATCAGGCACATCCAACAAGAAAAGAAAGAAAAAATAAAGTGTTTACATGGCTCCGAAACTCTGCTGCTGTAACTGTTAAAAAAGCAAACCGTCTCAAAGGGTCCCCTTGTATCTAGCCCAATGCCAAGCATGATCCCCGGAAAGGGGGTTTAAAAAGACTAACAATAACAGGAATGGGAATCCGAAAGCGCGCTGTCCGAGACCAGACGGTTACGCAGCCCGCGGTGAGCAAGCGGAGCCGCGCGAACCCTCCCGGTGTCCCGCGGAGGGAAACGTCTGGCCAGGACTTCGCCCAGGAATCCCGCCTTGCTGGAGCTACTCGATTGCGCAAAGTCGTCTAACTTTCCAGCTTTTTCCCTCCTTGGCCAGGGCGCGGGCACCCCTCCCCCTGGCCCGTCTACCTGTGTGCGCGCCCCGGGCAGCCGGCTCGGGGGCCAAGCCCCGGGCTCCCCGCCGGGACGGAGCCGCGGCGGCCGGCGGGGCAGGAGCGGAGGGAGGCTGGAGGCGGAGCGGGGGCGGCGGAGCCCGGGCGAGCGCAGGCCGTTACCTTGGTCCACAGACCCCATGATGCGCAGGGGCTGGCAGAGCCCCGGGCGGCAGGCAGCCTCTCTCTGCATCTGGAGGGCTCGCGACTCGGCGGGGCTGGGGCACAGAGGGGCGCTCGCACGGCTCAGCAGCCCAGGGGGCGCCGTCCGCGTCCCCGCATGCTCGGGCGCCCAAGCTGGAGCCTCCAGCGGCCGCGCTGCGCCTGGGTTCCCGGCGGCGGCGGCGGCGGGGTCCGGGCTGGGCGCTCGGCTTTCTCGAGAGGCAGCGCGACTTCCTTCCCCGCGCGCGGTGTTTATAGGCTTTCAATGCAGTAAAATAACGGGATTCCCTCACTGTTTCCTCCTGTTTACCCAGCGCCATGGAAACCGCTGGATCCCGTCCATCTCCAAAACGAAGGGCTTTCCTGCAAACTTCACACTCAGGAATCCATGACGTCGCCTCCGCCGCGGCCAGCCAGCGCCGTGGCTCCCTCGGCCGCCAGCACAAGTCCCTGATTGTTCCTGAGAAAGTCAGGGAGAGAAAGGGAGCGAGGCGGCCGAGGATGCCAGGGCCCGCGGCGGGGGCGCAGGGCGCGCAAAGCCACAGGCGGCCCCTGGCAGGAGGTGTCCGCAGCCCCTGTTCACAAACCCTGCGGGGACTCCCAGTCACCCCGTTTTCCAGGCGGGTGCCCACCAAAGCCAGTTGCCCAGGGTTCACCCCAAAGCCCCAGTTTGTGGGGGCCCTGACCCAAGGGCGTCCCCAGCTGCCCCCCATCCCTGTTTCCAGTGATAGTGAACCGGAGGAGGGAGGAAAATAAATAAATAATAACGGGGCTCGGTGTCAACTCTCCAAGATTCCTTTGGGGTTTTTTTTTTTTTAGTTTATTTTTAGATTCATTTAGAAAATCCCAGGTTTCCAGCGGTGCTCCGGGACTCCAGCAATACTGAACCCGCCAAAGAGGCAGGATCCAGGCAACTCGAGTGTTTACACATGCCCTCCTCTACAGGCAAAGCACCGAAGGGGAGTCCTGCGTGGACTCCAGGGAGGTCTCCACAAAGTTGTCTGCTCCTGGGATGACACGTGGCCTTCCCAGCCCTCTCCCACAGACCCCTTGCAGGCCAGTGAGGACGGGGGACAGGCAAACATGTCCAGGTGCCTTCTGGGGCTTTTGCCTTTAAGTCTTCACCTGCCTGCTGGGTGGGCAGGTAGGGCCTGCGATAAAGCCCTCTTTGAAAATGGACATGGCAGAGGCCAAAGTGGGTTCTGATAAAACCGTGGTGAGCAACTCGGCCTAATGACTCACGCCTGGCTTTCTCAGGCTGCAGTAGCTTTACAGGGCTCCCTGATGGAGAGCAGCTGGGACCAGGCCAGAGACAGCGCCTGACCCCGGACACCCCTACAAGCCTTCCCACCCCTCACGAGTCTCCACCACTAGTGCTTAAGTCACTACTTTTCTGGAAGCTCATCACCCATTAGCTGCCTACCTACTGCCCTCCTGCGCACCAGGTCCTATCTTACCTTTCCTGGAACATCCACAGCCACCCTGCAAGCAGAAGAGCCTTCTCCCCCCACATTTCAAAAGTGGAAACTGAGGCACAGGAAGTTGTTGTTTTCAGTGGAATCTGAACCTTGTGGGGAAGCCTTGTGCCCTAAGGACTGGTCACCCATCTCTAGGGGCTTTGCCTGGGATTAAGGGTGTTCCTGAGATGTGGAACTTTCCATTGTAAAACTGGGAGAGTCCTGGGTCAGCCGGGAGTTGGGCTTCACACATAGGAGTGAAGGCAGGCCCCTCCGCTGGTCCTGGCTCCTGCTGCCCAGACAGCAGGGAGCCTCCAATGGTTGTCATCTGAGGTCAGTCACTGTCTGTCATACTCCCGAGACTCACCAACTACAGTGGGTGCCAGACACTGTGTTTCCGTTGGCAATACCTGCTTTCAGATGCTCATGGCCACCCTGCCCAGTTACCCCCTGGCACTGGGCACAGGTCCATTCTGGTAGCCACGAGCCACACTGTGGCTATTCCATTGTAAGGAATGGCAATTCAGTAAGACATAAAGTGCCATTCACTGATCACAAGAACCACATTTCAAGTACTCGGAAGCCTCATGCAGCTAGTGGCCACCGACTTGTTAGACCCTGTCCAGCATTGCAGAAAGTTGTGGTGGACAGCGCTGGGTGAGAGGACCCGAGAGGCAGTATAAAGCTAGCTCTGCCCTCCCGTGTCTGGCCCTACCATGTGCTCATTTACCCACTCTGATTAATGCCTTCCTGGCACAGTGGATATAAGAACCCAATGTGCTGATAGACACATAGTATATACATAATATATATGAACAGGGACTGCTAAAAACAACAAACATCTTGGAAGTCCAGCCAGCATGCTCCTTAAGGGCAAGGACGGAGAGACTTCGTCTCATGTACTTTGGACGTGTTGTCAGGAGAGACCAGTCCCTGGAGAAGGACATCGGGCTTGGTAAAATAGAGGTACGGTGAAGGAGAGGATGTCCTAAGGAGATGGACTGAAATTGCGGCTGCAACAATGGGCTCTACCACAGGGACGATTGTGAGGCTGGCACAAGACTGTGTGGTCTTTCTTTCTGTTGAGCATAGGGTCATTATGGGTTGGAACTGGCTCAATTGGCATCTAATGACAACATATATGCTGTATAACCTTCCCACAGGGAAGGCTTAAGACTGCTTGGCTCTGTAGTTCGTGATCTTGACCTCTGTCCTTTTCAGTGACCTTGGAACTGGATCTGTGACACACACCATGTGTGCAGCAGAGTAGACCTGCTCTGTGGGCTCTTGAAAGCTATGTCCTTCAGAAGCAAATCGCCAGCCTTCAAAGATGCCTCTGGGTAGGATCAAACTGCCAGCCTCTTGGCTAATGGTTGAGCCTTCAATTGTTTGTACCACCAGGTCTCCTGCCTGCCCTCCAAAACCCCACAGTTGTCCAGTCCGTTCTGACGCAGAGCAGCCTTCTAGGAGAGAGAACTGTCCAGAGCATTCCCAGGGCTGCAAACCTCAATGGAAGCACCGGCCTCGCATTTCTCCCAAGGAGTGCCTGAGCGCTTGATGGATGCGCCACCTGGGCGCCTTTCTTGACCTCCAGGTCTGCCCACATCAAATAGCACCCAAGTCCTGGCTGCCTGGCTGGAAGAAGGTCCTCTGCAAGCAGGATCTCATTCATTTCCGCCTCCCTGGACTTGGGGACTGGAAGCCCCATTGGTGGATGAGCAAACTGAGGGAGGCTCAAGTTCACACAGCCACTGAAGTGGCCAGCCCAGATGTGAGCTGCTCTCTGCTTGGCACCACAGCCCCTGCCTCCCAGCAGCCTTGCTGCGAGCCGTGGCCTTCCAAGGCCAGCAGCGAGGCAGGAAGCGAGCTTGCTGGGCCCTCCTCTGCCAGACTCATTATCGGGGATAATTTTAGACTTGGTCCCACCCAAGTGCAGGCCTCTGAGGCGAGGCCCAATCTCCACAGGGCCCGGTGCCGCGGAGCGGGGGACGCCTTTTGGAACTTGGTAGCGTCAGCACTAGGCACATTTTTATAGAGCCCACTCTTTGTCACAGTTAAGCATTTTTCCCTTTTAAAGTGCATGGAGCTGCCAGGGCCAGGGCCGAGGGGACTCGTAGCTGAGTCACCTAATTTCCCCTTCTGGCCTGCAGTTCTCGGCTTCTTAGTTTAGCCCTTCTCCGGCTCTTCAAGACAATTTCTTTCCTCTCGTGGTGCCAGGGCAAGAAATATTTTGTCCTTTTGAACTGAGCCACCCAGTATTTCACTTAGGAACTCTCCCTTTTTTTTTTTCAAGGATGCTCTGAGGGGGGTGGGTCGGGAGCTTCCGCCCACTAAATGATCCACGAAAACTCCCCAAAATAGAGGCACTCAGCTGGGGTGGGCGCGCGCCAGCCTGTGAGGAAAAAACAGGCGAGAGGTGGAATCAAAGCAAATAGATGGAGCCCAGGTGGCCGCAGGGAGGATGGCCCAGGGAGGCTGAAGGACATTTGGGCTGGCAAGCCCTTGAGTCAGCCTCTGCTCAGAGTCTGTTGCGAGGACAGCCTTGCAAATACGAAGCAAAAGTATTTCTGCTGAGCCGTCTTTCCACCTTAGACTATTTCAAAGGCTGTGGGCAGCTTCGATACCGGCCCTCTGTGGGCCTCCCGGCTGCGTTGACCACCTGAGTCCCAGCTTTGTCATTTGGTCCCCTTCAGTGCCGCCCCTTTCCTAGCTGCCATGCAGGTGAGAGCCAGGTTTGGTCTGACTTTCTCAGATACGGAAAGAGGGAGCCCGGGCCAGTGCAGGAACACCTGGATTGTGGGCTTTATTGGTTCGGTGCTAATACCCGTGGCCTTGACTGAGCACTTGCTGTGTGGCTGCCATCCACAGGGAGTCCTCATAGCAAGCCAATGATGAGCGTTTTGCCGAGCAGGGTGCACTGCCAGTGGGTGGCAGAGGTGGGATTTGATACCCTGGGCCCCACCCCACCCCCAATTCTCCCAGGGACCTGGCTCTAAAGGCTACGTTTGTAGACACCAGGCATACTGCCTCTCAACCCCCGTCCCAATTGCTTCTGGGAAGCCCCCCGCTCATCCCCCCAGACTTATCCCAGGAACCTGGATAAGAACCCTACAGCAATGCCAGGGGAGCAGCTGTGAGCCAGCGCCACAGCAGGAAGTGCATCCATGGGCGGTGGGTGCCAAGGACGGTCACAGAGGATGGTCGAGCTTGGCAGCTCGTCCACCACATCCTACAAAGCCCTGAAGCAGCTCTCACGTGTACCCACCGTTCTTCCTCCTCACCCCGCCAGCCTTGCTGAGCAATCCCACCTCCACCCTGACCACCTCACTGATCTCTCTGCTTCTCCCCCCTACCACCCCCCACCAGCCATTTGTTTCATCTGCTCCGGCCACACTGCTTCTCTCCCATCCCACCCCCACCCCCAGCCAGGACTATTCTCCCCTGCTCAGCCAGTGAGGTCATCTTTCTGAATGCTAGAATGCAAAGGGCACAAGAACCAATCACCAGAAGGGGAAGGGAAAGGTGGGGGGAAAGGGGGAACCAATCACAATGATCTGTATACAACCCCCTCCCTGGGGGTTAGACAACAGAAAAGTGGGTGAAGGGAGACATCGGATAGTGTAAGACATGACAAAATAATAATAATGATTTACAAATTATCAAGAATTCTTGAGGGAGGAAGTGGGGGAGGGAGAAAAATGAGGAGCTGGTACCAAGGGCTCAAGTCGAAAGAAAATGTTTTGAGAATGATGACGGCAACAAATGTACAAATGTGCTTGACACAATGGATGGATGGATGGAT